AACAAACGAACAAACGAAAACAAACGAAACAAACGAACGAAAACAAACAAACGAACGAAAACAAACAAACGAAAACAAACAAACGAAAACAAACAAACGAAAACAAACAAACGAAAACAAACAAACGAAAACAAACAAACGAAAACAAACGAAAACAAACGAAAACAAACGAAAACAAACAAAAACAAACAAACAAAAACAAACAAAAACAAACAAAAACAAACAAACAAAAACAAACAAACAAAAACAAACAAACAAAAACAAACAAACAAAAACAAACAAAAACAAACAAACAAACAAAAACAAACAAACAAACAAAAACAAACAAACAAACAAAAACAAACAAAAACAAACGAACAAACGAACAAACGAACAAACGAACAAACGAACAAACGAACAAACGAACAAACGAACAAACGAACAAACGAACAAACGAACAAACGAACAAACGAACAAACGAACAAACGAACAAACAAACAACGTGTTTATTACGCTGAACGGCGTTTGGTAATGTGCAGTTATTCATATAATATATCACTGCCCAAAAGCTTTTTGTTACTGATTGTAGTTTAAGGCGATCGCATTTACAGTCAGTTTATAATGCATGTATCCATAGATTTACGTTAGCTGCATGCAAAATTACATCGATTCTAGGTTATTTTTTTCAACATATCTGCATACTTACTGTAGAACGATATATACAATGCATGTGAAAGACAGACCAGCTAGTGAGAGTCCAGATCCAATATAAGTGATCATGTTCAAAGCAACCTCATTAGATTCATCAACCTAAAATTAACAAAATATCGTTGAATGATAATTTTTGTCTCATTCTAAATGTAAACAAATAAATAGATACACGGGGTTTAATATCATAAACTGATAATTAATATTCGTTAGCTATAGCATGAACAAATACCAAACAACAAGAGTGGTACGCAAAACAATGACGTTCAGTGCCGTAGCTAGCATGTATAGTTGGGGCGGGGGGTGTAGGCCAAAAATTTCCGAATGACGAAAAAAATTCCGAATATTTCATGGCATACGAAGCTACGAAGGTGTTTGCTATCCAAAAAATGAAAATGCAATTTACAAACAAAAATACACATATAGTTTAGGCAAAGACATATTACAGAAGCATGCAGTGCCGTAGGAAGCTCTTTTTATTGGGGGCTGGGAAGGAGGGCCGAAGGCCCGAGGAAATATTTTATTTTAAATTCTCTGAAATGCCATTTCTTGGACTTTGGGGAAGTTTTGACAGAATTATGATGGTCAGAAAACAGAGTTTTAGTATGATATTTGTAATGTTACTCTGAGTATGCATCCACAGCGGGCAAGCTGAAAAGTTTGCTTGGCCACGGTGGGAGTCGAACCAGCAACCTTTGGGATACCAGTCCAATGCTCTGCCAACTGAGCTACGTGGTCAAGTCGGTTCGAGTTAATAGAGTTTTAGTATGTTGAAATTTACAATTTGCTTACAATTTAGTAAAATTACATGTTTTAGTAAAACTTCGCAAGGCTATATTATCCGCATTTTACAACATTTCACAACGAAACTCGGAATATTACTAATTTTGTCATGCTCTTTCAAGCTGTGATGAAATTTTTGTCCAGACTTGTCTAGATCAAAATTTCACTCAAAAGGGGAAGGTCTATTGTAGAGGTGTGCAAGTCCGATCCAAAACCGATCCGAATCCGATCGGACTCGTTCGAATTTCGGAACCAAAGTATAAATTTCGGATTGAATTGATCGATCGGACTTCGATATCCGAAATAAAATGAATTAATTATCTATTTTTGCAAGAATTACTTATCCATGCATTTATCAAAGTATTATTGCGGTTGTCGCTGCATTATTCGTTTGAATTACTTCAATTGGACTTCACTTTGTTAGCTTCTTGACATGTATTTCTTGCTTTTATATTTTATTCTTCGGATCGGATTCAGATTAGACAATTTCGGATCGGATTTTAAACATTAGGCAATTGTCGGATTATAAACGTCCAATCCGATCCGATGCACACCTCTAGTCTATTGTCAGTATTTTAAAGGCATATTATTTAAATGATAAAGGTGTGCATGATTTTGAAAAAAAGAATGATTATCAGCAAATTATTGTAAGGGCTTCTGCCCCCAGTCCCCCCCCCCCTTCCCCCGACTGCTACGGCCCTGAGAAGTAATAACCCGAAAAACATTTACCGATTTAAAATTTGTTTTACGTTATCCAAGTAAATGCCGTGATTTCGTAAATCTGTTTATACCAATGGTTTATACTGACAATACTATTTTATATAGCCTGCGAACAGGCTCACTGGAAGAAAGGTGAGCCTGCACGGAACCATGCGTTTTATTCAATCATCCCCTTTTCGCATCTGCTAAACGCGAACCAATCAGCGTCGACTGCGATAAATAAACTGTCAACTGTCAAATTGACGCAAGGCGTGTACATTGTGCAACGAAGAAATACTGAATATTAAAATGTATACATAATGTATATATGAACAATAATACAAAGCATTAGCGGGCCGCACAATATATTACTCGGAAACTATATGAATTCTTCAAATATTAAATAGATATCAATACACATACAAATATAAAGCCGAATAAAATACTACCATTGGCATTGAATGTACAGTAATACTTGTACTATGTGCGACTGAAAGAACAATGTTCTGAATATTTGAAGCTATTACTAAAATACGGTCAGATAGATTGGGGTTTGGAATACCAAATACGTCTAAAATTTTACTAACTGTAGTCTAAATAAATGATAAATGAGCATGTATTTATTAAATTCTTCGAAATCACGAGTGTGCCGATAGTGGAAGCCGTATCGACGACGAAATTGTCAGCAGTTTATACAGTTAATAGTACAACGTTTAATGTACGATATATATTTATCTAAATGACATGCCAGCGGAGGATCAACAATATAATTATTCGTACATATTTGGGTATCTTTTGTATGCCTTC